CTGAATTCGGATGATTGCTCGAGGTTCCAATCTTCACAGTCTCCCACTAGGCTTTCTTTATTGCACAGCAGTAAATTTCTTGGGCACATGCAAAGATTTTTAGGAGAGAAAAAATAAATAAATTTAATTGATTTTTTTCTATAATAATTTATTGTAATAAATTGTCATAAAAAAACTTTATTCAATTTTTGTTAATAAAAAATTACAGCATTTTGCAGTTTTTTTTATTTATATATAAATATATATTTACTCCCTGTAAGTAATATAGGTCATCTTCAGGGTTGGGTCGTCTACAGGAAGCCTGAGGAACATAAGGGCTCATCTTAGCCATTCCTAGCAGTGCACTCTTCTGGACAGAGAACTCTGATTTCTCTGTTATTTATTGGAGCCACTTTTCAAATTTAAGGATCACAGCCCTAATGCTATTGCCACATGTGGAACAACATTGGCTTTTACTTTCCGCATCTTTTCTAATTTCTCTTTCAGTTTCTGATATTCGTTCAGTTTCTCATATTCATTCTTTCGTATGTTCCTGACGCTTGGTACTGTTATATGAAAGAGAAATTAAAAAAAGAAATAAATTAGAATATGAATTGCCAGTGCTGATTTCTGATTCTTATCTATTACCATGATATCTGGTTGATTGGCCAGAATTTGTTTGTCCATCTGGATGGATGAGTACCACAGGATCTCCTTATTCCCGGTTTTCTGAGAGAAGATTTCTTATCGGGTCTTGGAAAAGTCTAAGCTATTTATTGAGTAGTATTCCTAAAGATAGCTGGCTATTTGGTTATACCTTTCATATGTTTTTCCTTAATTTTATATCCTGCACTATATATTAGGTATTTTCCCAAGCTTTTTTGTTCAAACCATTTTGCAGTTTGAGTCCTATTTAATCCCTGTTTCAATGGATCTAATGAATGCTTGTTCCTATGCTATTACGATCAATGCATCAATTTCTTTTAGTCCAGCCTTTTCCAGCCATTGATAGGATATAGGATACTTAATATCAGCCACCACCAGCTACCTGTTGTCAGTATATCCAATGGAAGATCTTGTTTTGCCATAGTACTTCTTCTCCTTGCTCTTTTTCCATTATCTATAGATGCTTCAGATATTTTCTCAGTAGCTCCTTCCTTGGTGTCATTTCACCGATGTATTCCTGAATCATTCGGATTTCGTGTTCAACATAGTGGCTTTGATGCTCACCAATCTCCATCTGCTTTCTTCCCAGCTGATATGCAGTCTTTGGATATTAGATTTAAGTTGGAAATTTCCGTGTAGTGCGAAAACGGTCTTCACATCGCTAACCTCTATGTTTTCCTTTAATCATCACGCCAGCCTTGCTCCACTTGATTAATTGAGATCTCTTCGTTAGAGATCACTTGGAGAAATGCAGTCCCCTCCAGCCCAGAGTTTAATTAAATTTTAACGATAGGCTACTTTAAGGAATAAGAATGTTCCTTGTGATTGCTGATTATTATCATGAGCAGTAGTGACGGAGCAGCCCATAGATATACGCTGCTAAACTAGGAATGGTCTTCTTAAATTCGCTCTAAACGCGGTGTTCTTCTAGAGACGAGTTGTTTGGATTAAGCTTACAGATTCGCTTCTTGAAATCTATCATTAGAAGTAAAATCTGCATGGTACTGGATACCTACTTGTAATTCTATCTGCAAGTAATTTTCTCGCCTCATGCCTCAAAATGCCTCATCCTAGTAGCCAGTGAAGCTAACGTAACCGGAAATGGTGAGTGATAGTTACTAACTATTATTTATATTACAACAAGGAAAGTTTGGCATTAAATATATAAATGGGACTATTTTTTAAGTTTTTTAATATTAAATAAATGGTAAGTGAAATGAATAGGCAAACAAGACGAATTGTATTGTTAGTAATAAATTTGATTTGTAAAGAATTCAGTAAATTTATGGAGAATTTAATTGTTGAATAAAGAAAGAAGTGAAATTCGAGGTGAACGGGTTGGGGAGGGGTACGGGAGGCGAAAAAAATTTATATATTTCTGAAAAATAGTACTTATATATAATTAGAAGACAGATGTAGGGAATAAAAACGAATTCGTAGGAAAAATGAAAAGATACGTTGTTGATCATCGTCGGATCGAAAATAAAGAGAACAAAATTTCGAGTGAAGATAGATCGAATTAGTTGTTACGAGTCAGTTGGTTGGTTGGTTGGTTCACTGCATAGTGTTTCGTGCGGTATTCTGATTCGTTACATATTAATTTTATTGTTATTATTGTTGCTATTATTATTATTATTATTATCATAAATATTATAACAAATATTATGGCTGAATTTGGTGACATAGCTTTGGAACAAATCTATCAAAAATCTCTTTTAATCCATTCGAGAATTCATCTGATTTATTTACTTACTCTTACAATTATTTCACTAATTTTTCTTGCAGTATTCCATTTGGCTCAACTAAATTTGGTCCTTTTCGTGGCATCATTTCAAGCAATTATTGCGCTCATTCTACAAATAATTTTGCTCCGACGACCATCACTTATAAAATTTGTCATTTATGGCACCATACAGTTATTATTTATCATTTGCTTCTGTTTCTATCCCTCAGGACATTCATCATTATTACCTGCACTATTATCAATTTTTGCTGTTTATTCAATTTTACCACTGAAACTTCGTTCATCATTCGCTATTTGCGTTTTTCTGTCAGTTTCGCAGCTTTTTGCGTTAATTTTCTTCGCTTCTCCACTATCAATAACTCAGGTGTACAAGTTTTGTTTCATTTTCCTAAATAAAATAACTACGCTAACATTATTCACCATTCCTGGCTTAACTGGCAGTATTGGCTATTAAAATGAGATTCCTTCGTAAGAGAGAATAAAAGTAAAATAGATGAAATTACTCGGATAACTACTCCATTTTCATTTATTTGATTTTTCTTTGCAGATCTTTAATGACTTTTTTCAAGTTTTTTTCCAGCATGTAGGCAATTCATCAAATACTGTCGTTATGAATGTTCACAGCTTATCTAGTTAAGTCAATAAGAAAATAAGCAACTTATTGGCTATAGGTGGCCTCGTTTCTCTCTAAAGAAAGGCAGAGTCTCGCTCCTAAAATTCAGTGGAGCCAGCTAACTCAGAAGTTGTTAAAAGAAGAAAAAGAAAAGCGTTGGAAGATATTTTCATATCAATTTTTCAGTGATATTAATGATTTTATAAAAAAACAGTTGAACAATTGACTTGTCACTGTGTAAAGTACTTATGAATGATACTTTATATTAGTTGTTGATTTAAGCCTTATTGGCTTTTACTTAATCCTATATTAATATTTCCATTTAAATCTTTCCAGCATTAATTCAACCACTATTTTTGCCACTAGTAATTTCATTCTTTTGTTTTAAAGGATACCATAAACTTTGAGGACGAGAGAGAACGACGGTTTGTTTTCATCTCCAGCCTCGGGGATTGCTTATTTTAGATTATCCGAATTTATCAAAGAACTTTCATATTGATTATATTGTTATATATTCCAATCATTTTTCTCTTTAATCAATTTAAATAATTCTCGAATCAAATTATTAATCGATTTATATGACCAATAAAGATCCATTAAGGACCGGTATAGTGCAAGTGATTCTGGATGATTCTGAATTCTTCTTTATTTCGCATTCCACTTCACTTCATATGTATATTTTTTTACGCAGTCAGTATCGTTCTTTTTTCGCTGCTTTTGCCAAGTGTCTCAGCGATAAATTTTCCTTTTTCATGATCAAATAAATTAAATGAAAAGTATATGAAAAGTCGGAATATTATTAGATTAAAACTGAAAAAAAAGAGTATTCCTTTAATCACTCTAAAAGCACAATTAATTTGTAAAATTGATCTTTCATTATCTTTTATCTTTCATTCGTAAAGTTGAAGGAAGATAGATGTTTGGCTCAGAAAAGCGATAAACGATAATTGTTTCGAAAATCTGAAAAATTTTACGACAAATTATCATTTATCATTTCTTTAAAATCGTTCTCAAATCATTCTTTCATTAACAAAAATAAAATAAGAGAATTAGAAAGATTGAGGAAAACTTTACAACAATTTTTTTGCGAATTATGGATATTTTTTCGTTATATAAAAAAATTTAAAACAAAACATAAAATTTCTATCATTTTTGAAAAAAATTGCAAAGATTAATGAAAAAAATGTTGCGAAATTTTATTCATATTACTGCTGATTATTGCGTTTTTTTTAAATAAATTAAAATTAAAATCTTGAAATTAAAATCTTTACCTATTTTATCGCTTCGATTCATTTTTTACCGGAATTTAATCAAGGCTAAGGTTGGTGAAATTCGTGGATTCGCACCAAATCCATTCTTCATCCATAATGGGTAAAAATCTTAAAAGAGATTCGCAGTTTTTATTCGATAAATCAAATCTTTAACCTTATTTTTGTTTGTTTCTGTTCTTAGTTATGTCTGGATTCGAACGAACAAATCACCTGTTATCATTAATGGATAAAATTCGTCTGTGTGAAAATATTATTGCAGATGGTCAATTATTGCTTCTTTGATTAATTAATTAACAATTAACTGTCTTAATTGTCATAATTATGTCTCACGATTTCTTAGAATTTCTATTGGCATATTTTTTGGTCATCAAATTGCTAAAACTCATGTACTCGAATTTCCATCTGTATGTACCATTCCCTGAGAACTAAACTAAAAACTATGAAAAACGCTGTTAATTGATTGACTAATTACAATTTTAATAGCATTTTGCTTGTTTTTATCGTTGATCTCAGTCCCTCGGATGCTATAGTAGCCAATCCTTACTTCAATCCACAGGTAACTTTCTATAAAAAGATTTTAATAGCCAGTAGAATAATGAAGCCGGAAGTGATGTTAGCTTAGAAGATAGATGAAGATCCAGTATAATTTTTTGTAGAACTCAAGACCTGAAGAAATGAAAATTTTGAAGATTTCGATTTATTTCTTAAATTTTTTGTAAAATTTCAGTTCCTTGCGACAATTGTTATTCATCTTTGGACACACTTCATTGGCTTTTATGCATATATAATTCGAGATCGAATTTCACGAGCGATTTTTTTACGAGCTCGAAATGCTTTTGCAGCTGAAGAAAAAGCGATACAAGAAAATGCCAAGCTGGTTATTATTTGTCCTTTCATTAATGTTTTTGTTTTGTTATTGTTTTTTTTCAGTGTTTCTTCACATTCGAATAGATAATGGCTGAGATTATCGTGTTCAGAGGTAAAGATTCAATTCATGCCCCCGATAGGAATAAATCCACCACTAAAGAAGTGGAGTGATTGGCGGCCCACCTATATCTCTATCGCCAGATTACTGCTTCTCGAAAATTTCTGTTCTTTACTGCAGTGAGTCGGTTGAGCCAGCTAAATAAAACGGCGAGCGCTAACTGTTATTCATGCTATTCATAAAAATTGCTTTTATTGCGTTAATTATTATGCAAAAATATTTTTGCCTCAGAACTATCAACGTTTGAAGCAAATAAATTCTATTAGACAATGACGCGTCGAGAGATTCACCGACACTTATCCAGAAGTAATTGATCTCTAGCGAAGACTTCTCATTCCATCAGTCAATGAGTAGAAGATGTTAGAAGAAGGTATAATATATTCCATTACAATACGGTGCATTTCGAGGCAGTTGGCTTTTCTCCAGTGACTCCATTATAATTCCAATTAGCTTTAGTTCTTCATGGCCATATTAAATATATTTTTCAAAATTTTTAAAATTTCAAAATGTTTCCATCAGGCAGAATCTTCATTTAACATCATTTTTATTTTCTTAATTGGCTTTTCCTAAAAATTTTAATCTTTTTAGTTGTCATTTTTTACCATTTTTTTCTTTAATTTTTTCCCATAGTTTAAACTATTTGGGATTATTTTACTGCATTGTCTTCATTTATCTAAGCCAGAGAAAATGTGATTACATTTTTCTTGGCTTCTAATAGTGTAATAATTTAAAGAGCGAGAGAATAGTACTTTCTTTCTATCTTTCTTCAAATAATCCATCATTTTATTTCGTTTATAGACATTCATATCGATTTTATGATTATTGTCAACAGTCTTATCATTTTATCAGTATCTGGAATACAGTTTTTTTCTTATGCCGAAATTATTTGAGAAAAAAACCCGGTTTTTTAGCTTTGTTTTTTTAGATTATCAGATGTGAAATTTATGCCATTCTCTATTTCAATTTTTTTCTTTTTTTCTTTTATTCCTTCTAAGCACTGGTTAAGCAGGTTTCCTTGGTTTATTAAGATGCATCGTTTACCTTTACCTTACTGTATATATATTTTTGATTTTTCGCTAGTAAATTTGCTTTAGGCCTATAAAGTGTGGAAAAAACTGCTTTTCAAGCGGAATATTAATGTTCACCATATTTCTCTCAAAGACTTTGGACAAATTAGCAAAAAATGCTTTTCCAAAAATTTGTTTATTTTGATTCGTACAAAAAATTAATTTAAAAAGTCATAAAAAACGACCGAAATTGTATCAAAAAATTTAAATCACTCGTTATTATAGTGATAAATTAAAAAATTTAAATTAATTGAATTAGATGGTCTTAATGGCAAGCAAAATATGAAGAATTAAATTGAAATAACGCTATTTATTTTTTTCTTTCTGTCACTGTTTTAAATTTTAACAGTTTTTTGAATTAAATTTCCAAGCCAAAATTAAATGAAAAATTTTTGCACTTCGTCTTGCAAATAGCTTAATGAAGTGATGTTGGTCGAGTGGATGGATATTTGCTTCAACTAAGATTTACGACGTCGTAGGCAAAATTTCCATCATTTGACGGTAGTAGATGGAACGGACGGAAAGCTTATGCGCCTATTTAAGTCTTCGTTTTCAGTTTTTTCCAATATTGTAGTCAACTGCATTGGCACCGCTCTTTGTTCATTGCATTGAATGTATGATACATTGATTTTTTGTTGCTATCAAACGAAAATGGTTTGAAAAACTGGAAATCCTTTCTCCGACAAAAGACAAAGTGCAAGACAAAGTATCAATAATTGTTGCTCCTTCAAGACATTTCAATATGTCTATCTGGCGATTTAAAAAAATTATCACTGAATTAGGGAAAAACTTATTAGTATATAAATATTTCTCAGATTTGGCCATCTTCCACTGAAGTTCTTTTTAAAACTTAGCAAAACTGTTTTTTTTAAAGCTGTGTAATAACGTTAAATATCATCAATCAGAGATGCGGTGCTCGAGTGACTGTTGTTCCTTGTAAGGCCTTCTGAGCCATCATTGGTTCGCCACCCGGTCTGTGATTGATTAATATTAGGATAAAACAAAATAACGGAAAAAATAACTAGTAAGTCGCTTATGAATGCAGAAAATTTTTCATTGTTTATTATTTTCAGACTGAGCTTATTGCGTCGAGCGTTCCGCAGCATTTAGTACCTACTTTTCGACAACGAATCACGCAAAATTCTTCAAATACTTACACCGAGAAATATGGTCAAGTAACGTATGATAAATTTCCATGCTATTCGATAAGATTTTTTTGTTGAATAATCTGAGTTAATAGAAATAATTTAAGGTTTCGTTCATTTTTGATAACCTTAAGACCCTTTTAAATTTCATCTTCTAACATCTCAAAAATTTTGAATACAAATTTCGAAAATTTGCATGAATAATTTATAAAATTTCAAAAAAATTGATTTAAAAGAAAATTTCAACTTTCAAATTTCAACGTTATTTACTCTTTATTTTTGAAAATTTGTCAATATTATATTATTTATTTTCTAAAATATTCTTCGATGAATTCCAGTGTCGTTTATGGGCGTCTCATAGGACTTGAAGATATATTTGCACAGTGTAGTATTCAAGATTGTGCCAGACTACTAAATGAATTCAGCACTCGAATAAACCGTATTGCCGAAGTAAGGCCCTTTCAGACCAAATGTTATGCCACATTATTAATCGCGTATTGCATATTATATTATTTATCAAGAAAAATGATAAGATAAGGATAGCTCGGTAGTTCAGATTATCATCTCAAGCATCGTGGACTCTGGATTTGCTTTAGTTCAATGACATTTTTAAAAAATGATTTTGAACGGGAAAGTTTGAGTTTAATTTATTTAAATTAATTTAAATTAAGATTTATAAAGAAATTTGCATTTTTCTGAACAAAATGCTTTCCACTTGCACGAAAGTTCACACAGAAGTTTTATAACTCCTATTTACTTATGTAAAATATTGGATTTCGCATCTTATTCATTTCAAAAAGATTGTAATATTTGTAAACGGATAAGATGCCGATGAATAGCTAAAAGCAAATAATATAACAATAACAAATGTGCTTATTTAAATTTAATTTAAATAATAATTCAATAAATATGTGAATTTGAAGCCACAAAAATTTATTTTATTATTGCATTTGCAAATAAATAACGCTATAAAATAGGAAAAGGCTTAAATCGCTGAACAATAAGAGTTTTCATAACGGCGAAAAATTCGTTTAAAATTTAGAAGTGCCGTTTAAAAGTTATTCGAACTGTTTAGAACACAATCCTTATTTTTGAATAATCCATTTTGAAATAAATCTTTATTTTATAAATTTTGTTTTTATTTATTTATTTTTTAAATTTTTAACTGCGACCAAGAGGATAGTGAAAAATCAGAGAGGTGCGTTAAGAGGCAGAGACTTGGATTTTTCTTGCGATATGGTCGTTTTTCATTCAGTAATGGCTACCGGCGAAAAACTGCCTCTCACTGCACTGCCTCAGCAGTAGTGCTGAACACCCACTATTTACCCGAAGATTCTCCATTCTGTTCTAGAGTGAATCTTGATTCGGATATTCTAAATTGTTCGCATAAATTGTAAAGATAGATAAAATTTGTGTGATGAAAAAATTAATTAAACTATTCCTTGACTTTGATTTGATAAAACTTGTGTTCTCAGTATTTCTGAATTAATTCAGCAAGAGAATTTAGACTTTCTAATTTGTATTTTCGCTGATCACAGTTTTGGTGAAAATCTCTGTACAAATGTTGTGGCGGCAATCTTTGATGCTTTTTTTCTATCGAGAATTTGGAACATATTTTGTTTTTTTACTACTCTAGAAATATGTGCAATTATTCGTTATAATTTCCTGCCATAAATTTTAAACCGTTTTCCAAATCACAGAATACAGCAAGTAACAGATTCACGCAATTTACTCTCTTTACTTTTAGAAGAACGAATGCATGCGGATTCAGTCCGATGGAATTTTGGTGGTATCAGGTGCTCCTAACTTTCGCGAAGACCACGCTAAACTTGCCGTGAAGTTTGCCTGTGATGTTCAGGCTCTCGTCAAGTTCGTTCAATCTTATATTCTAAATGTTCTTTTGATATATTTTAAATTTTCGCCAAATATTTAGAATGTGGAAATTTCTTTCACTTTCTTAATTTTATTTTTATTTGAGAAGCATTCGGCCATGCAAGAAAAACGAATCGTGTAATCATGTAAAAACTTTTGAAAAACTATCGTTTTCAGTAAAAAAATGCAATCAGTGCAGATTTCAAGCGAAAATTTTTGTTTTTAGTAAATTCGCACCTTATAATAAATTTTTTTAGGAGCTTCTGCGACTCGACCACCGCTGATTTGGGATTCCGCAGTGGTATTGAGTCTGGTGCAGTAATATGTGGGACAATAGGTACCAATAAATGGCATTATGATGTTGTTGGAATGTGTGTAGATGAAGCAATCAACTGTGTGCGTGTCGCAGCCCACTGGTTTCTTTTTCACACTTTGTTTTTAATTTATAGCCATACCATACGATAAAATCAGGTCTGGTCTTATCAGGTTTGAGCTAACTTGTGCCAATCTCACCTTTTATTCCCAGGTGTTTTTTTCAAGGCCATCGTATTTAGAGATTTTCACAATCTCGTTGTTAAAGTTTTCTTTTTTTATATTTAATAATAATTATTCAAATATCTTTTATAAAAATTTGTTTAAATAAATGAACAGGTGCTAAGGGAAAATATTAGGGTCTGCTTTAAAAATTGACCTTTAGTGGTGTTTTTCTGGCTGACAACGCAAAAGAGCAAGTTGTCGATGATTATAATATGGAAAACTATGGCTGTTACTGGCGTATTTTACCAGAAAAAGCTTCAGCATTACCTTCGAGCTTGCTATTTCCATGCCTTCGGCGATTTTCTCTTGCAACTATCCCACAAGCTGTAAACCGGCTTTTACAGTCAATTTCGTCGAAATCCGATTCACTCCATGCGAGCAGTGCTTTGCCTGGAAGACGAAAAAGGTTACATTTAGTGCAAAATTAAATCTTAATTTTCCAAAATGGATCACCGATGTTTTTATATCTTGTCCATTTCTCCTCTTCTTCTGACAGCACTCACCACTCCTGGTTTATCTGATCCTACTGGCTATTGGAATAATATACCTTCGCTGGAAAGTTATTTTATTTGAATATGAAAGTTAGATGGGTTCGCATTGTCTAACATGTTTAATGAAAATTTGCTCAAGTCAAGTGGCAGGATTCGAACTTTTGACGATAAAAGGTATGAGGTTTTTTCTCCAAACATTCTTAAAACATTAAAAATAAAGTATTTTATAATTATTTTTAGAAAATCAGAAAATATTCCTTTATCTTGTAATAAACTCGATGCAAATGAAACAAAGGAAAAAAGTTTGATCGATGAAGCTACGTTGCGTTTTCGAAATGTGAAAATGGAAACGGCTGTAAGCCATCGTTTTTTTTCTGGAAATTTTTGCGAAGGTTTAAGCTCTATTGAATTATTCTTAAAAATTTGCTTTCAGTATCACTCGCAAGCTGATCAGTGGTTCATACCAGCATTGGCGATAAGTATATTTTATCTTGTAATATATGCAGTCTATCACGTACTTGTGCTGCCGAGGTATTCTCATTCATCGACTAGAAATTTCATTTTTCGTTTTGTTTTTTTTTAACATTTTTAATACTTTTTCGTTTCTTCGGAAGTCTTAACTTGACCTTTTCACCTTACCTTTAAATCTGTTTTCTTGTTTTATTATTTCCTAGTCTTGCACTAAACCCTTGCGTCCAAATGCCTTGCAAATTTAATATTAACTATATTTTGCTTTAGGCAAATCGCGACTCTGATAATGATCGTTATGACTTTGGCTGTAATGTTTATCATATTGTTGATGATTTATATCGACTACTTTGAGGTGAATTTCATGATTTTTAAAGCAATCGCTCTAATGGAATGTTTTCATTTAACAGCGTTTCTGGTGTGGCTGATTTTCCTGAAGGCATTTTGCTATAGAGAGATACAGTTTTGTTCCCAACCTAATTTCACTTTTAGCGATAAGTTTATTTATCATATCGTAGAAATCAAATTTTAATCGAAACAACATCCCATTTGACCAAACCTTTCCTCAATCTAAGAAGAATGCATAATGTGGACTTTCATCGTAAGAAAGGTGGTAAGAGAAGGCGACCTTGTTAGAAGAACTAATTCCAGTTGAAGATGAATCTTCTTGGGAGAGAATTGTTGAAAAATCGGTGGTTAATTCAATTTTGTTATAGAACTTTTGTCAGTTCATTACAAGGACATTATTTGGGCAATCGATTGGTACTTTATTGATATTGACGATGCTGTTTATTTGTGGAATTGTTAACACGGTTAGATAGATATATAAATTTGCTTGTAGCAGCAAGAGCAAGGCCAATGAAAAAAAATTCATCCAAATTTTGTACTGGATGAACTTTTTTATTGAATTTTTTTTTAATGAACTCGGTACTTGAAAAGGAAAATGATAAATTTCCAATCCTGAATTAAATGACGAATTGCCAGTTTGTCAAAATTGGCAAATAATATTTCTGAAGATAACTGATTTATTTTATTTGTCGTTTAAATGGGAAACTGGGAATTTTCAATAATTTTTGTGGCAAAAAAATTTTTCCTATATCGTCGTCAAAATCATAATATTCGTATTTCGGATCTCACTTTTTCATAATATTAAGCTTTGGACCCTAGAGAGATAATAAAATATTTTCTAGTATTCATGTCCACAAAATGGTGGCAGTAAAGTCGATTTAACATCGGAATGTTTTGTGGTTCATTTCTCTTTATATAACTGTGTTTTCTGGATGTTGACAACTGTGGCTTTTGTTCGATTTTCTTCTTTTATCCTCTTTTTATCATTAATCGTTGCATTCATCCTCTATTCATTTCATGTATTCATAACACATCCAGAATTGTATTATAGCTACTCACAGTATACTCAGTAAGTTATATTTTCAAATTCAAGCCAAATTTTTAAAATTTTTTCACTTTGCTTTTCTGTGATCACCTTTGAAAAAAATACATGATTTTTTTTTAGATCCTCGTCCGTTGAGTTAGAATTGCTTAACGGTCTTCTCGTTTTTGCTTTTTTAATTTTCCTTCAAGCTAGAAGGAATGAACGAATTCTTCGCTTTGATTTCATGTCAAAATTAAAGGTTTTAATTTAAATTTTATTTGACTCAGTCAAATTGCTGGTTGATCTCTTCACTTCTCATATTTAAATTGTGGGAAATTCACTCTTGTTCAGTGGCAAAGAACTTATAATTCTTGGCCTCCGTCATAATATTATAGTACTGGGCCAACTCTTCTCGCTTATATTATTGTCATCAATAAAATTTCGCCATAAGCTATTTAAGATAATAATGAATTCACACTGAAACTGGCAAATTTTGCAGGAAGTCGAAGAAAAATCTGAACTGGAACGAACTGAAGCACTTAATCAAAAAATGCTCCAAAATATTCTGCCGCATCATATTGCACAGTCGTTTTTTGCAAAATCTGAACTTTACTATCATCTTTGTCATAGTGGCGGTGTTATATATATCAGTGTATGTTCATTTTTATCATCAAATTTTTCCGATCAGATGCAATTTTCAATATGAAAATCTGTTTCATTTTCTACTCGGCTATCTGTCTCCAACTAAATAAAATTTAATTTCCGTAGTCATCATTTGATAGATTTTTGTCTTATATAGATTGTACTGGATGATAAAGATATTGATAGTAACATGTCTTCACTGCGAAATATCGTTTCCACGATCGATCAAGTTAGTCATTTCCAATTCTTAAACTTAAATTTTTCTGAAAATTTAGAATTTTCGGAAGAATTCTCAAAATTCTTAATTTTTTTTTTTAAATTTAGACTAATGACTCAAATTTTTTTATTTTTTTGCAAAAAATGCAAACTTCTTTTTAAAAAATTTGATATGATAAAATTTTCCTTTTGTTAATTTTAACAGAGTTTTTCATTTTTAAGTGCCAAAAAATTTGAAAAAAAATTTTGTTTTTTTGTTTTGAGAGAAAAAGGAAAATATGATATGATTTTAGGTACTCGCGAAATATTCAGGGATCGAGAAAATTAAAAATTGTCAAAAGTTTTATATTGCAGCTGTCGGAATCATTCCGGAAACTTGCTCAAATGTGGGTTAATTGTATATATTTGCTCAGTGCTGCAAATATGTGGTGTTAGCTTTCATTATTTCTGGCTTTGGTAGCTCTATTAGCTGGAAATTACTATTTTTCACCAGGGTGTCGTTTGGAAGCAATCTATCACCACCCGAATACTTAGATTAATTTTTTTTTTCAAGAGTCCTCACCCATTACTGGTTCGCTCCACTGGCTTGTCGCATTATGCAATATGCCGACGAGTATCCTTTGGCGATAAAAATACATTTGAGTCACCAATATCACCCGGATTTTTGTGCAGAGACTCCTACGGGCAATCGAACCTCAGCATCGGCGCTTCCAATTGAGGAACAACCCACTGAGCCATTCCATCCCTATTTAAATTAGTATCCTGGTATATTTTAAAATTTAAAAATACCATTTTCATTTTAAAAATCCTTAATATTCTTAAGACCATTTTAATATTTAATATTATTTTCAAACGATGAACCTCTTTTCTATTAAATTCATCCAAGTTATCCTCAAAATGAAATTATTTATTTATTTTTCTATATGGCTATGTTTTAGGTTCATGACACCCCTTCTACAATCGGTGATTTATTAAATGAGCTTACGCAATTTGCCCTAACTATTTCAGCCATTGCAGCCAGTCAGGGAATAGGTCTCAATATCGGTTTGTTTTTCGAATAATTTAAAGAGATGATTTCTATAAATTTAAAAATCTCGAATTTACATAAATATACTTCGTGAATGCCGGGAATACTTTAAAAATATTTCGAAACTTTTCATGAAATAAGTTTCAGGTATTGAATGCGGATCACTTTTGTCGGCTGTAATTAGTGCTCATAATCCTGTTTATGAGATTGTTGGAAAAGCTTGTGAGCGAGCCAGAACATTAATGGAACATGCTGACTGTTATGGTATTATGGTCTCTGAAGAAATTTATCTGGCTCTTCGACCTAGAAATTTCAATTTTGACTCAAGACCAATCAAAATCGATATGGCAATAACGGCTTATGTTTTTGAGGAATCTTATCCAGTAGAGGAAAGTGATGCACAATCAGCAATTGATGCTGCAGAACATTCGCAATCGCTTAATCCTCTTGGAGTTTGTTTCTTGCTTATATTTTTTTTAGATTGCCTTAAGCTTTGTTTCTTTCTGCATCTCAAGGACGAAGTGCTGATAAGCTGGTTTGGTAAACTGGTGAATTTTTTATTTATTTTTTACATTATTCGCAATAAAATTACTTAATTTTAATTTGATTCATTTTGATTTTGTTTATAATTATTTGCTTTGAACATAATTGAATATTAAATAATTGAATTCTGAATAATTCTTTTTTAGATGTTTGCATCAATGAATTCTTCATTTACATCTGAAGCATATTCCTTAGATATTGGAGTGGAAGTAGAATCGGATATGGAATGGATAACTCCTGAAATGATACTCTCTGACCATCGTGGTGAATATCCTTCCACATCAGGCATAGGCATGTCACAGTATATCCCGTCTTCGTCAAATCCTCGAGTATTTATTTAAAAATTTTTTATTAGTAGAATATTTATCTAATATAATCAAAACTTTTTTTTCTAATTGTTTATTTTGAATTTTTTTTTTTATTTTGTTTTATTTATTTTTATAATTTTTATTCTCATTAAAATATTTATCTTATTTACCTTTATTTATTTTTAATAAATTAGTCGGTTCAATATTGAACGTAGGCTCATCATTTCTGGTTTGCCTGGTTGCATTGACTACTAATCTGAGAATTCTTAATCAGACAAATTTATGAATAGATGTCCGAAACCTGATCGCAACCTGGATTTCAACTTTAATGACGTATTTATAACCAAGGGGGAAGTGTGAATAAAAGAATAATTATTGATTACTGTCAAAAATAATACTCGACCATTCTAACCGCAATTCTCATGCTTGAAATTGTGGTATTTGTAAATCTGCAACTTATTGTTTTTATATTTTTTACAAGTTCTCCCATTCAAACCCATGTTTTTTTGCAGTTTATCACTAATCATTTATTTTTACTATAGGATTTTCGTAAAAAGATTTATTTAAGATTTATTTATGTTAAATGAAAATATATATTATATTTATATATTTGATTTTAAGTCTGAAGGTTCTTTGTCGCCTGAGCGTCTTCGAAATCGAAGAATGCATAGTGGTCGTTTTATGGGTTTGATGAATTGTTCAACGATATCGGATACAGGTCAAAGTTGCAATGGTGCTGATCGATTAGCAGCTGCAGCTTTTCGAGTTGATCGGATGCTGGAAGAACTGAATGCGGTCGCCGAACTCAGTTCAAAGAATGACTGTTGTCCATTTCCCACAGCTCTTTCGATGTCGACAAGAAGCTTGAGGTCATGTTTTGCACTGAGGCGCACTAATTTTTATATTTCGTTAATTTTTTTCCCAAGGACACTTCATTTAACATGGCACTTCAAATGAAATTAAATAAAATTAAAAAATAAAATAAATAAAAATAAAATAAATAAAATTTAAAATAAAATTAAAAAATTTGTATTCAAAATATTTGGTATCGAAAGTCGTTATGATTCCAGGCGAGAAATATCAAGTGCTTGCCATACTGAATATGACAATGCTGAATCCGAAGGATTGTGTTCGGATTCGGAAATACTTGGAGGCCGTTTAGAACAGTTGAAAAAAGCCTTAAAGTTAGAATTCGATTTTAAAATTTCGAAAGTTCGTTGGTTTGTTTTAAAAAAAACAAGGGTTTTCTCAAATATCTTATCTGAATAGATCAGTCAAATAATTGTTGTGGCCGTCAAATTCAGCTATGGATTCTGCCCATTTCGACTGTTCCTTGACAATTTCTCTTGTCTTTTCGGCAATTTCATTTGAGATCTATTTTGTTTGAATTCATTCTAAAACATTTTCGCTTAATCCAATATTTATCACAATTAGCCTTATTTATATTCGTGGTCGTAAACGTCAAATCGGGTTTCAGACAATGTCGAGCAAGTAGCGAACGAAGGAAAAGGCGCAAATTTTGGAATAATTTTGATAATGGTAATGATGCTGATATTGATAGTATCTGCTCTTCGTTAAATGTTTCATCGATATTTGGTAATTTTCGATGGAATAGGTAAGAAATTTATTATACTTGTTCTCAAGTTTCGCTAATTCTCACACATTAGGTGAAATTTGCGAAATTCGCGGATGGTAGTAAACCAAAAGAAATAAATAATTCAATGCAAAAATTTATTAAATTATTATTAAAAATCAAAAAATTAAAAAGTTATAAGAAAAATTTTCTCTCACTCTCTTGGGTGGTCATAATCGTCCTCAACTTTGGGCCCTCTACCAGAAGCCTGCAAGATTGAGGATTCTGAGCAGTATCTTCCTAGTGCCTTCTGGAGATCTCTGGAATCTATTGAAGCTACTTTTCTAGTTTAGAGGTCATAGTTCCTGCAGTTATCATTGATATTACTTTAACATATATCGCTGATATTATATTACTTTGCACATCTCTAGTTCCTCTAATTCCTCTTTCAACCCTTGATATTTCTCTAACTTCTCATATTCCTTCTTTCTGACGTTCCTGCCTCCTGGTATTACTATATCAACAATGGTGATATCTGATTCTTTTTTACCATGATATTTGGTTGATAGGCCAATGCTTGCTTGTCTGTCTGGATGGAGAAATACCACAGGATCTTCAGGATTATTCTTTATGATTTTCTGAAAAATTCCCCATTTAATTCTGGAGGGTCTAAGCCATATACTAAGTAGATGTTCCTGTAAATGGTGTCAGCTACTTGGTTATGCCTTTCAATTTAAAATGTTCCTGTAAAAATATTCTCAGCATTTCATCCTTTGGTGGCATCTTGCTATTATATTTCTGAACACTTCTAGTTTCGTTCATGATAGCGACTTTCACACTCACCAAGCCTCACCCGCCTTTTTCCAGCTGGTAATTTCTTACAGTCTTTGAGTGTTGGATTTGAGGTGGAAATTTCTGTGCATTCTGAGGAATTCCCTGGTATTTATATCAGTAGTCTCCATGTCTTTCTTTGTCCATCTTACAATGCCTGATGACTGGCAGGGCGTACATATTTATGGCATGGATATTTTTCCCATTTAGCTGGCTCTTCAAGATTTGTCTTTGATGATACTTAGATGTTACAGCCTTCCTTGTCTCCTCATCATGGTTACCATGTGACTGTGGGATACCAAGGTATTTGTGCTAGTGCTCTATATGACTTTATGGCAGGTTAACTCCGTTAATGATTGCCTTTTTTCTCTCTTTACTACTATCTGGTCACATTTCTTTAATCCGAATGATATCTTAAAATTCGAGTCAATGTCTCGTTCATTTTTTGCACAATGAAAAGATGGCTGATGATAGTCCCGTTCTTGAATTTATATTCTTATCCGTTTCTGGGAATTGTCTAATTGAGGAAGTTTAGATCTATGCAGAACAATAGGAGAAAAAAGCATCGCCATGCGCACTTGATAGCTATTTCGAATTGGTTTCAGGTGTCATTTTCCACAGCCCCATTGAGTTCTCAATGGGCGTCTTTAAGATCCTGCTGACTTTGTGAAGCAAAGCATTTACAGATCCATGGATAGGGCATTAAGTCATAGGCTTTCCTGTAGTCAATTCAAATTGTACAAAGATTGGTCTGCCAAGATTTTGAGCGATTTTCTTATCTATGAGCAGCTGGCATTTGGAGCTCGTATTGTTCCTCTATTGCTTTTTTGAAATATACTCATATACTCACTCATATGATCTTGAAGCTTGAATGGCTATGGTGCCTGAGAGAACGCCGGTAATTGGAGTGTTGTTCCCATATGAGGATCTTTCATGATCAGTACTATCCTTCCTTATGTTAACCAGTTTGGATGGAGCCTGCCACAAGCAGCTGGTTCATCTGTGTCGTTAGGCGCTTATGAACCGCTGCTAGCTTCTTTTAACTAGTTGGTGTGAATCATATCCAAATCAAATGCTGTCCAATTTTTTGTATTTTTTAGTTACTGTTGCTTATTGGCAACTATGGGGAATAGAATGGCTCAATGAGTTATTAAATTCGGAATAACAACCATTGTTCGATGCTGAGGTTCTATTTCTCGCAGGAGTAAACCTATCCAAAATTCCTAATGGCGACTCACCTATATCGCCAGGGGCATATTTATCCAATGCGATAAGCCAGCGGAGCGAATTTAACCAGTAACGGTGAGGACTCTTAAAAGAAAAAAAAATCGCAACTGTAAGAGTTCTTGCTCTGGGAGATTGCGACTTGTTCTTTTAGATTATGCAGCCATTTTGCATTGGTGTTATGAATCTTCTGTTCCTACCATATCTTCTTCCAGTAATGTAAATATATATTAAATATGATATATATATGATTATTAAATATATAATATGTATTACATAAAATATTATATTTAATATATTTACATCATATAATAACTAAATATACATATATACGTATATAAAATAATATATAAAATAAAATATTAAAAATTGCATTTAATTTATATCATCATTATTGTCCATTAAATCTGTTTTATTAAAACATTGAGGCATCGTCGCTAAGGTGCGCCACACATACCATGCATTGATGAAAAATTTCCTAGAATCATCGATAGGTAAGGGCATAAAGTTGGAAGCACTAGGCATTCAATGGATTTCGCGAGGAGAATTTATCCCTAATCCCGTGATTCGACCTCAAATGCACTTTGTTCGAAAAAAAATTTTTTTGAAGTAATGCAAATCATTAAAGGGAGACCAAATTTTTTTTATTCCACATATTTTTATAATTCCCTAATTTTCTTTGGTCACATTTTCACTAACTTTAATCAATCAGCCCTTTAATTATAAAAATTGGTTCTTTCACAACAGTGAAATAAGAAATCAGATATTATTTAATAAAATAATTTAGTAACAACCCCAGTATAAGACATTTTTTTCGAGACATTTGTAATTTTTCCAGTGTTCATTCCATTGGTTATGATGACGAATACGAAATAGCATCACGTGAAGATCTCCGAGAATTAGCTCGATGTCAAATGGAAGCGTTAAGTCGCGATATTAGAAAAAATTTCGGCGATTATCAGTTGTCGACGTTTTCAGATATAGATGCTGATGCCTAGTAAAATTATTTTTTGTTGTCATCTGAGTCATTTTTTTCAAACAAAATATCCAAAAAATTGTTAAAATATTTTTCAAATTTACCATTTTGTTTGTTATTTTACTCAGAACATAATAAATAATTAATTCTTACATTATAAAGAAAATTTCACCAACATCCTCAATGTTCAACATTTCTGTAATAGGTACCGCTGAATCATAAGAAAGAAACGGATTTTCGAATAAATTGTTATATTGTTCTTCAACATGTTTTCTTCATAATAAAATTTCAGTCTTATTAGCAGAACTAGAAGTTTTTACAGAATTAGGGTTTAAAAAATTGGTTTTATATTTTCCATGCTTTTTTAAATTCTTCGAAAGGTCTTCGCACAATTTATGGAGATTAAAAAACAATTTCTTGCTTTTTAATCAGCTGACAAAGCATTTTCATAAAATTTTGAAAATGAAGAAAATTAAGAAAAACTGAATTGTAATATTACCCGATATATAGATTTTGATCGCAATTTTTCAGTTTTTCATAAAATTTCCTTTTTTATTTTTATTCCTTTTTTATTTCGAGAAAATTTAGAGAAAAATTTTCGAAAAGAAGGTGTAAGGAGATTTATAAAATTCAATTAAGTTATCCAGTTTTTATGGTGGTTGGAGAATTCATAAGAATTTTTCATTTCCTTCATAAATAATTCATTCGCGATACATTATCGAAATTTCTCAAATGTTATAAGTCTGACCTCATTTATTAGGCGAATTTATTGTATCCATCTCAAAAGCATTTAATTGGACATCAATTTTTCAATTTAACTATTATTAAACAACCTAGTTGCTATGAAATTCAGAGACAAATTTCAATTTTAATTTTGATTTTAACAAATTTATTTGGTCGTCAGCTTATTCAATTAACATTTGGTCTAAAAAATTCTCAGTGGCAAATAACATTTTGAGATTTCTTGTGGTAGTATACAAACAATTTTGCATCAGTCATTTGAATCATTAATTTCAATTCATATAATGCAAAATGAGATAATCTGCTGATAAAGTTCGATTAATAATGATTAAAAAATTGTCCTTCCAAGCACTAGTCGAACTTTTCCTTCATTTCTAGATAATTATAAAGCATGCTATGATGGCCGCTGAAATATTTTTTTTAATTCTCTAAATAAATAAATAAAACCGAGCATGAATGACTTACAATTATATTAATTTTGATTCAATTTTTTTGAATTAGCACAACTTTCATAAGTTTTCCATACATAAACAGACAACATTAGAACTGAGAATAAACTGACAGGACACTCTGAAATTAGAATTTTCAGTTTTCGAAATCTTTTTTGATCCAAATTTTTTACTGCAAGAATGTAATCAACTCAAATATTTTAAAATTAAATTAAATCAATAAGAATTATCACCGAAGAATCAAGTTAATGAAGAGTTCAATTAAATCAAATATCAAAAAATAAATTAACAATTGAAAAAACCAATCATAAAAAAAAATTTCTGAGTATTTAAAAAATATTAAAAAGTAAAAATATTTTTTACTTTTTTTAAATTAATTTTCTAAAAACAATTATTAGATATATTTTTTCAAAAAACGATTAATAAAATGTAGATTTTTTCAATAAGAAATTCCATAACATAATAGAATTTTTCAATAAGATATTCCATAATAAAAATTAAGAAAAAAAGAAAAATAACCTGATTCAATAGATAATTTATTATAAAAATTGGGTAAATAAAGAATGAAATTTATCGGCCATAAATAACCACTACTGATGGTGCCAACAACGATATCTCGCGATAAAAATGACATCAAAATTGCAAAAATATGCAAAAATATTATAAAAAAAAGATTGGACGATGATGACAACATTAATACTGATTTATTTCGTTTATCTACTGCAATAATTAACAATTATTTCTACTTTTTTTTTTTAAAAGTCCTCATCTTTACTGGTTAAACTTGCTCTGCTGGCTTGTCGCACTGGATAAATAAATATACCA